AAAAAAATTATCTCTAAATCATATTCTTATTAAGAATAAGCTTGCCTTAATTAATTCTCTCCATATAGCGGCCATGGCCGAGGAGGTTTGCGCTAAATTTAGACTACTCCATTTTTTTTCTTTCCTTTCTTTCTTTTCTGTGGCTGTTATACCTCTCTCTTGATTAAAATTAAGGATATATATAGTTATGTATTTTGGATTGATGCATATATATGGCACCCTAATTTTAATTTTGCTCATAATTAATCCTTTTCCGGAAATTAAATGCAATTCCTTCTTTGCATGCATGGCATATATATATATATATATATAGAACAATTATACATATACCCAAACAATCAACACCCATCTCAACACCTAAAGCTAAAATGAAGAGGGGTAAATTTGTAATTTTACTGTGCATAAGCTTTGGGTGTTGAGATGAGTGTTGATTGTTTGGGTGTTGAGATGAGTGTTGATTGTTTGGGTGTATGTATAATTATCCATATATATATGGTGATCCATGTTCAATAATATATATTGCATATCTATACATTTTTTTTTTTTGATCAGCAATTGTATATCTATACATGCTTTTATGGGGGACAACAATGGTGCTGAATGTGGACCTACAGTGCTCAAAATGCTACAAGAAGGTTAAGAAACTTCTCTTCAAATTTCTTGGTGAGTCTCTTTCCCCAATTTTGTTAATATAATTTCCGTAGGTATTAGAATAAATTGATCAGCAAAATGGACTGAGTCGTTGTGTTGTGAACAAATTAATTAAAGAAATACGAGATCATCAAAGAGCTCGAATTGAAACCTGAACAAGAGGAGTCGAAGGAGCCAGAGAAGAAAAATGAGGTAGAGGACTCCCAAGAACTAGGACCGCCACCGTTTCTAACTCCACTTCCCTCAGGGTTTTGTTGTGATGAATGCTACAGTGGAAGGCCTGGGTGCCCATGTTGGCGTGGTGGGCGAGTCCAACCAAAACAGTTGGGGTCGGGGTGGCTGCGCAAGCGGTTACGCCTATTGCTGCAGTGAACAAAATCAACACGGATGCACAATCATGTAAACATGTCATTGCCTGCTTCATCATCTTCAACCTACTGGACTCCGCACGTTGAATTATATGCATGTGTGTTAATTTTGTTTTCCTCTATCAAGTACCACTCTTTATTTTGTTCCTACTTAATTACTCCTTATGTCACGTCTCATAACCCAAATCCAAGGCGCGACAGACGCCGTGCACTTGTGAGATGAGTCCCACAAATGCACAAGCCTCAGAACTTATCCAATTCACATAATCTCAAGAATAAAATCTACCTTACAAAAATGATGATAAAATCTAAAGCTTATATCTGATTAGAAATGGCTAGCCTTCTACCTCGTCACTCCCCTTGGTTTCCCCGTACTCGGTTTCGTTTCCTGAAATGATGGACAAGGAAAAACTATGAGATAACTCAGTAAGTAAATATGGATAGCCCTAGGGTAAAACTTTAGCATGCCTGATAAACAATTTAACATATTAAAACATTCAATGATAAACCGTTAAAATAGGATCAGATTCAGTTCAATAACAAAATGTTTCATGACAAATCATTAATGCAAAAGAAAATTCAGTAGTAGTCTCATCTATAAGTCATGGCCAGCGTTTATAAATCTCCCACTGGCGGGCACAATAGTAACCAATGTTTAACCCCATTGGCAGGGTTACAAAAGTACCAGTGTCTAACAAACTCCTACTGGCAGACGTTAGTAATGGTACCAGTGTTTAACAAACTCCCACTGGTAGGCGTCAGTAATTACCAATGTATTCGCTCATTGGCAGGCATCAATAGTACCAACGTTTAACAAACTCCCACCGGCAGGCGTCAGTAATTACTAATGTATTATCCCATTGGCAGGATGAATCGGTTCTATAGAAATACATGTCGACATGTGCTAGCGTTTGCAACTCCCACTAGCGGGCGTCAGTAATCATGACTATATCATAGACAAAACCATGCAGAATTTACAGAAAAATCCGTAATTCACAATCAATCTCCACTTTCAGAAATAAACCGAAAAATTTCTATGTGAGCATGGATTTAACAGAAAAACTCAGAATTTACAAAACTCTCAGTTCATCAAAGCAGTTCAGTCAATTCCAAATAGGCATGCTCTACTCAATACAAATGAAAAACAATTTCATGTGGGCATGCTCAACCCCAGAAAAACAATGAAATTCTCATTTTCATCCCAATCATGCTCAATTCTAGAAAAACAATGAAATTCTCATTTTCATTCCAATCATTCTCAATTCTAGAAAATAATAATTTTCATAAAAATCATCAAAATTTCCATTTCAGTTTAATCACACTCAGATACTGATAAAATCAATTTAAACCTTGCCACCATCTCAAAAACAATTTAAAACATGCTTTAAAATCGAAGGGCTTTACCATGATTTACTTACCTCCCTCGCACAGAATAGAAGGCTTAACCTAAGCGCTATAGTGACAGCACGATCAAAACCTAATCACAATATTCCAGAATTAATACTGCAGTACCACAAATTCACAGTAAAAACATCATTAGGACTACCCCTAATCACAATGCTATTTCTATCAATCTCTACATGACCGGACATCTCCAAATTTATTCTTATATTACAAACTAAACATTTAAATCCCCGTTAATTGTTGACCTTCGGTGTGTGAACAGTACCCATGAACAGTACTCGTGAACAGCAACTTCAACTTCCAAAATTGGCAAAACATAGCTAATTCACGAGGTTTCTCTCCAAAATCTCACAGCAGTCATAATAAGCTAATTTTCTACTTAAACCACACTTAAAAGCATAGCTTAAAGCTACCAAAATTCATTCTACCTTCCAGCACAATTCCACATAAATTTCTTCCATTTTCGGACAACAAAAAGGGCAATTCAAAAGCAGAAAATCCAACCAACACAAGCCAACAACTACATGGATAAATTGGACTTGGAAGAGCCGGAAACTTACCAAAATTCCAGCAAGCAAACCGGAGCTGGCAAGGAGAAGAAGCCAACGGCATCTGCAAGGAAACTCACGGAAACTACCCAAAATTCAAGAACCACAACCAAAAATTAGAGTAACCCAAGCCAAATTAAGAGAGAGAGGATGAATTTCATGGCTATGGCTTACCCAAAAAATGCCCAGAAATTCAAACCCATATAGCAACCGGCGGACAGGGGAGGAAGACCAAAGCAGGTCTGGAAATTTCTAGGTTTAGGAGGGAGTTTTAGGTCCTAAATCTTGTGATTGAACTAGAAAGGAAGGAATTTCATCAAGATCTCACCGGGTTGTCAAGGGGGGAGAGAGTTGGTGGCTTGGGGGGCTTGTCGGGAAGGAGTTGGGAAGAACAGAGCAGACACGCGTGCGATGAGGAAGAAAAGAAAAAAAATATCTAAGCTTGATCCTTATCCTAATTTCCTTTCTTTTTAGTCCCTCAACTTTGAAATTTGACTATTAAGCCCCAAAACAATATTTTTCCTCAAATAAGTCCCTTACTTAATGCTAAAATATCACCAAATTTTGGGATATTACACCTTAATTAAGAAAAAAAACATATAGCAAGATCACTGTGTTCTTCGGTGAATTATATATGAATGATACACGGGATAATTTTGTTTATTGACATAAATTTATGTTACTTTTATTTCTTAATTAAGAACATGCGTTTGTTACTAACGAGCTATTGATTCGAATGGAAAAAATTTAGTTTTTTTTTTTAAATAAGATTTCGAGTCAGTTTTATGAATAAAAAAAACAAACGCTAAGAAAGTTTCTCCTCTATGAAGTTTAATGTTACTCGATTCTAAATTAATTTGAATCCAATGTGGTTACTAGATACCGAGAAGTCAATATCAAAAAAAAAAAAAAACATGCATTTGATTTAAATAAAGATCATTTGTATTTTTTTTATTTTTTAATTTATTATGTAATAACTAGGAATTTCTTTTTGGATGAAATTTATTATGTACGTACTATTAAAACAAGATTTTTTCTTTCTTCTAGGGTGCTAACTGCCTAGAGAGAGAAAGAATAACCGTCCCGTTTTTCCCGCCGATGGCGCGTTCCCACCGGAAGTCACCGACGATTCCCAGTTCTCAGTCACTGTCACTTTCTCATGTAACCTACCAAACCCCATCTACGACTAGTTTTCCATCGTCATCGTCTGTCGAAGTGCTTCACTCAAAGCTCGCGACTGAAGTAATGAGGCTTACGGGATCCTCGCCTTCTGTGGCCAATCCACCGCCTCTTGATTCTATGTTGCCCACTATTTCCACTATTCTTCCAGCTGGCGTGAAGCCTTCTGCCTCTCCTTCTTGGGCTGATGCTGTTGCCGCTGACTCTGTAACAGGTAATCTCTCTTACCACCCTCCTGAATTGCGTGATGGCAAATTGGTTGTGAAATTGCCTAGATCTGTTCATGAGGAAGGGATAAAATCTTGGGAAGATTGCTTAGTCGGGGTTTTCATAGGTGGGTCTTCACCCAATTATGGAGATATTGTACACACAGTGAATATGCTTTGGGGAAGAAAAGGGAAAATCCTAGTTACTGGTATGGGAAACAATACGTACTTGTTCAAAGTGCCTGATTCTATAACTAGGGATTGGATCCTTAGGTCCAAAGTACCCTGGCATGTGAACCATAAGACCTTGCATCTCCAGCAGTGGAAACCAGATATTGAGTTGACTAACCTGAAACCTTCTAAGATGCCCATCTGGGTTAAAGTTTGGAATGTACCTATCACTCTGTATACTAAGCAAGGTTTGGGTTATATAGCCAGTGCAATTGGTATCCCTATTTCTCTGGATAAAGCTACAGAGCTGCGCACTAATGTGAATTTTGCTCAAATCTGTGTAGAAGTTGACCTTGACAAAATTCATCAACTCCCTGAATCTGCCTTTGTTGAAGCTGAGAATCGATTGCCAGTGGAAGTTATGTTTGAATATCCATGGCTACCTGTTAAGTGTGATGCTTGTAACAGGGAGGGGCACACCAGTAAGGATTGTACTGCAAAGCCAAAAAAATCAGTGCAAAAGCAAGAGTGGCAAGTGGTAGCTAAGAAAGGGAAAAGTAAGCAAGTGGAGGAAGACAAGGGTGATAGTTCTGTTAGTCAGGCTAAACCTTCTTCCCAGTCAATTCCCCTTTCACCAATGGTGCCTGACAACCAACCAGAAAAGGATATTCAAGTGGTGCAATCAACCTCAGTTTTAGCAGGGGCTGTTTCGGTTAATGCTTCTCCAGGAAGGGTTGTCCCTACTGAAAATTCATTTTCTGCTCTAACCATGCCTGAGCAGGGCGTGGGACCAGAAAGAAGAATGCGAGTTGCATCTCATGGGGTTGCTGCAGCTACAAAAACATTGCTACCCAAACAGAGACAGACAAGGAAAGGTTCAAATTCCTCAGGTGAGGGTCCTCCTCCTCGCTCCAAATGAAGATTTTATTTTGGAATATAAGGGGCATTAATATGCCTAGTAAGCAGAAGGATCTTAAAAAGTATTTGTTACAATACGATGCTGATGTGGTATGTCTTTTGGAAACTCATGTACAGCAATCGAAATGTTTGGAAATTTCTAGCTACTTGTTACCATCTTGGAATGCAGTCCATAATTATGTGCATGCCAGCCTTGGAAGAATTTTGATTCTTTATGAACATCACATTCATGTCACTATGTTTGCCATGAGCTGCCAGGCTATTCATTGTCATGTCCTCAATGCTTTTTCAGATCAGTATTTGTTTCTTAGTGTCATTTATGCTGATCCATATTCAGATGCAACCAGGCAAAAACTTTGGGATGAGCTAGTTCTTCTTAGTCAGGCTCTCCCTAATGTCCCTTGGCTAGTGGGTGGGGATTTCAATGATATTAGATATCCTTCAGAAAGATCAGATGGAGCTTTCTCTAGCCTCACAAAGGAGTCCATATTATTCCATGAGAAACTTAATAATGCTGATTTGCATGATTTGCCCTCCAGTGGTTCATTTTTTACTTGGTGTAACAATAGGAGTGCCAATCCTATTTCCAAGAAGCTTGACAGACTAATGGTAAATAACAGATGGTTTAATTCCTTTCCAAATGCAACTGCTGAATTCTTGCCTCCTGGGTGCTCTAACCATTGTGCAGGTTGTGTAAATATCTTGGCACCTACTCCTAATAACAAAAGGAAGCCTTTTAAATTCTTTAATTTTTGGGCTAAGAATGAGAGGTTCCTGGAGATAGTAAAACAGTCATGGGACTCTACCACGGTAAAAGGTTGCTACATGTTTCAACTTTGCAAAAAGCTGAAGGCTTTGAAGCCTGCTCTTAGGAAGCTGAATACAGAACATTATGCAGATCTACCAAACAAGCTACAGCAAGAGCTACACAAGTTGCATATGATACAGGTTGACCTCTTAGCATGTCCAGATGCTGCACTAATTCAAGCTGAACATGACCAAGCCCAGAACGTGGCAGCTTTACAACAGGCTGAGGAATCATTTTACAAGCAAAAATCTAGAATTAAATGGTTGCAAGAAGGAGATGGTAATACCACTTATTTTCATAAAGTGGTCACAGTTCGAAAGGGAAAAAATACAATCAAAGAGCTATACACAAGTGACGACAGGAAACTTACAAGAGTATCAGACATGGAAAATGAAGCTGTTCAATTTTACCAAGGTCTCCTCGGTACAGCTGACCCAAATTGTGCCAAAATCAGTGGGGAATGGATTACAGATTTATTCCAATATCAGCTGTCTACTACTTTAGCAGATTCTCTCATGCAACCAGTCACAGTTGAAGAAATTAAGGATGTAGTTTTTTCAAGCCCGGGAAATAAGGCGCCTGGTCCAGATGGGTACACGTCTGAATTTTATAAAGCTGCTTGGCCTGTTGTAGGTGATTTGGTGATTAAGGCAATTCAGGAATTCTTTTCTTCTGGTAAACTTTTGAGAGAAATGAATTCAACCATTATTTCTCTGGTTCCAAAGGTTCAAAATCCAGTAAGAATGACTGAGTACATACCTATTGCCTGTTGCAATCTGTTGTATAAGTTCATTACTAAAATCCTAGCTAACAGATTCAAGAAATGTCTACCTTTCTTCATTAGTAGACACCAATGTGCAT